TTGTTAGTAAGGTGTGTCATTCACATCTATTTAAAGAGCAGAGTTTTAAATAAAGGGACATAACGTATTGTAATGGGGGTCATGATTAGCACTTCCATCTTTTATGCTCCTTTGTGGTTGGTGGGTGGGAGTCAGAGAGTATCCCCATCTCACGGAAGTGAGCTTGAACAGTTTGCCTGAGAAGGTCAGCGAGGTGGCTCACACCCTGGCCTCTAGACTCTGTGCCCTGTGATTGTCCTGCTAAACCAGGGCGGCTCTGTGTAAAGTGTAGACAATGGGTCCTTGAGGAACAAAACGAAGGAAAATTACTCTGGCTATTTAACTACTTTTATTCTTTGACACAAGTAGTACAAAGTTCAGCTGCTTCCTTTGCTCAACATATTGCTTATATTGATACTCCCTTCCGCTCTGTTGGCGCTCTCAAAGCCCTTGGAGGCACCCTGGTTTCTTGACTTCGGAGCCAGATGCCAGAGATAGTACAAAAGGGTCAAAAGCATGGACATTGGCGTCGAGACAACCCCAAGCTCCAGCCTTAGCTCCTCCTGTTTACAATCGGTGCAGTCTGAGTGGGCTACGCATGTCTAGTAGAGTAAGTGATCAATGAATGTTACCTGGGGTTACCAGCAAATAATCTGATAAGGCATTAAGCAGTGATTCAGAATGGAAAAGCAAGTTCCCTGTGATGTGTTTCTGTTCTGTTAAAATGAGCTAAACTTTGCAGTCAAAGAACTTAAGCCTGGTTGAGTGTGAATTGCTTCCAATGGGTACATGGTGGGGAAGGGTGCGGAAAAGCAGGTTGAATTTTATTTGAAAGGTCTGATGTGATTATGCCCAAATGCTTTTCATGCTGTTGTACCTATAAGGAGAGTCTTTGTTGAGAATCATGTGGCTTTTCTCTTCTTACAGCATTTTTGTTTAGTTGTTCTTGAGGTGGAATTTACGTACAGTTAATCCAGACTATGTGTCCAAGTGTGCAGTGCTGAGTTCTGACATGCCCAGAGACATCTGGAGTTTCTCCACCACAATTATGATCTGGAACTTAGTGACTCCCAATTTCTCTTATACCTTTGGCAGCCAGCCCCTTCCCCTACCTCCCAGCCTCTGACACCATGCATCTGTTTTCTTTCCCTAAAAGTTTTCCCTTTTCCAAAAGACTCTCTCAAATCATTCCATCAGGGGCCGTTTGAATTTGGCCTCGTTCACCTAATAAAATGCATTTGAGATGTAGTCTTGTTGCATGTATTTGAATGATAGCTGAGTACTATTCCATGGTATTGCCTATCCATTCACCAGTGGATGGACATTTGGGTTTTTCTTTGCTTTTGGCTGAATGAACAGTGCTGTGGTGAACATGCGTGTAGGAGTGTGTGCATGGACATATGCTTTCATTTCTCTCGGCTAGGTCACTAGGAGCAGGATGGTTCCGATGGCATTTGGTGTGCTCATGGGGTCCATGGGTGTATGTTAAGCAGTAGGGATACTTGGACAGATTGTGTCAGAAAGATCCTCAGGACAGTGAGCGTGGGGTCAGGCAGGAAGCAGGGAGAGGATGGGGAATTGTTGCCCTTCTATCCCCGGTGGCAGACACTGCCGTTTTCATCGCTCTCTTTAGTGGAACGGGTCTAGGTCATAGTAATGCAAACACTCTTTGTTGGTGGAGCACTTCTTCCCGTGCATCAGGACATAAAATCACCTTTCTGGACTAAGAAGAGATGAAAGGGGATCACCATTCATCTATAATAATAAAAGTGTAATATGCATATCTACAGGACAGTCAGATAGCAAAACAACTGTCAGGATGCACTGGTGCCAGGCCAGCCAAGGCGGGAGCCATGCGATTGGTCAGGGGGGTCGGGGCACCACAATCGCCCAGCAGAGGGAGGAGGCCCAGGCCACCCTCTGCCAGGCAATTGATCGAGGGTGTGTGTGTGTGTAGGGGGGATCCACTAAACCAGGGAATGGCGGGGGGGGGGGGGGGGTCCCGGGAAGAGGAGGGGAGGCTTGGGCTGTGAAGCTGGCAGCAGGGGGAAGGAAGGCCTACCCTTGCATGAATTTAGTGCATCGGGCCTCTAGTTTTTATATAATCTAAGGATCATCAGTGCTTTTCTCATGCTTTTACTCATATTTTCCTTCTTATTTACTCTTCTAACGCCACTTCTTCAAAATAGACTCGCCCAGGCCGTGGAATTTTCTGGAAGAGCCCCACACTCAAGGGGCCAAAGAGCCACATGTGGCTCATGAGCCGCAGTTTGCTGACCACTGTCCTAAACCATTTTTTAAAAATTTACAACTGAAAAATTAGCAATCCATTCCAGTACCTTCTAGGTCTATTTTGAAATATTATTGACATGCTTTAAATCAACTGAAAATCAGAAGCACAGGGTTTTCCAGTTCAAAGAGACCTTAATGGAACTAGTCATTTGTGCATGAGAAAACGGAGGCTTAAAGAACTTGAGAGAGTTCTCCCCGGTCCCGTCACAATTACTGGGAACCTTTTGTCATTTCAGCAGGAGGACCACGTTCCTCCCAGGACAAGAAGAAAGATCTGTGTGTTTTTATAATTGGGAAAAACTGACTTGGGATTTTTATACATTGAAAAATTAAAATAATCATGATAGGACAAAATTTGAATTTTGGAGAAAGGAGCTATTAATTAGGAAGATATATGAAAAGATGGAACAGTACTTTCTTGATAACAGGTGTTTGAGATTTTTAATATTTGATCTGTTTTTGTGATGAAATTGAAATATTTTGGCACTAAAATCCAGTGTGGCTGTTTAGCTGGCATATTATTGTAATGTGGACTATTTTGGATGTCCTGAACTGTCAAACAGTCTTTTTCCCCTTTTAAATAGTTACTTTTAATGTATAGCATGGGCAATGAATGTGTTTGGGGAAACGGAGGATGCTAGCAGTATAACCCTCTGCTCAGATGCACCCAGGCCCCCTGATCCTGTTGGCACTGCTGACAGACTCTCCTGCTGAACCACAATGAGCAATTGAGAGGCATGGGCCAGTGCTGAGAGGACCAGATCACTCCCATCCTCTAAACCCACATCTCAGTCAGAGGTCACTCCGTTTTCCACATCCTTGGCCTGCATGCTAATGTGTAATGACACAGTTGAAAAGGCCCAGTATCCCCTATTTTCAGCCTCTGCATTAGGCATTTTTATTTTTCAACACTAGAGGTCCCCAGGGTTCAGGAAGGGGGAGAAGAGGAAGGTGGAATAGACAGAAAGGCATAGCAACTTTAGAAATTCACAAGGAATGAAATAAAGGGAAGGCGATCAAGTGTCAGTTTATTACTGATGAGAGCTGATTTAAAGGACGGGGCTGAGATGAGCAGGAATAATAGGTTTCTTAATAGTGACCCTTAGGGTTAGACATGCTGGCCCCTCCAGGCAGCATGGGACAGCTCTGCCTCTCCTGTGTGTGTGTGTTGGGGGGGGGGGGGGGGAGGTTGGGAATGCTCAGGGCCTGGTGTTTGCTCCTGGGAGGGAGGAGGAGGATGGCACTCACCACTCACCTACACAAGCTTGTCCCTTCCCCCAACTCAGCAATTAGACACTGTGGGGGAGGAGCTAAAGGCGGTGTTTCCTGGAAACATCCCTCCTGTAGAAACAGTGCTGGTGGGAAGTGAGTGTTCCCTTCCCCCTGGTAGAGGAGAGGGAGGATGTCAAGGGATGGGCCTTTTGGGACCGCCAGGGCCACATCTGTGAAGTTAAATTTTCTGTATCTGGGAAGTTGAGAGAATAAAAGGAGACATAGGTAATGCTCTGGGTATCGAGACTGGTTTGCTTTATGGCTGGTTTGCTTTAAGACAGCAGGAGAAATGCTATTTTTAATATATATATATATATATAATATACATATATATAATATACATATATATATAAAATATACACATACACACATACACACACACTCACACACACAATTCCATTCAGTCTTCCATATGGATACTTCTACATGTTCCTTCTTTGCCCTATTTTATTTGGGATTTGGATAACCAAATCATGATGAAACCATTCTCTGAAACAGGGTAAATATAAGAAAGGTTTGTGAGGATAGTGAATTCCATTTCTGACCTACTGAACATGAGCTCTCTGCATCAGAAATCACAGGCTCTTGGGTTTATGATTTTTGTAATGCAGGAGAAAATGAATTAATTTGCAACGCAGTTTAGAAATTAAGCAGGTAAACCCCTTTAGAGTGCTGGAGACTGACCTTTGAGAGCACAAGATCCCAGGACTCGGCAGAGGGCAGGAGCCACTGAGGCGAGTGGGCAACACAGAAGTCAAGGAGAGGGACCACCTCAGGAAGGAGGGAAGAGTCAGTGTGTCAGATGCTGCAGAGGGAGTGGGCCAGGTAGGACAGGGGAAGAAAACAAATGAATATGTAGATAAGGCCATCGGCCTTCTAGCTCTCAGGAAAGGAGCACTTACTATATGCCAGGCACTGTGCTTATTGTATTTGCCCATGTACAATATCAACTGAATTCTCAAACCACTACCCACCTTTATAGATTAGGGAAATGAGAGTCACAAAAGTTTAGTACCATCTTGACTCAGGTCACATAGCTGGAACATGACATAGCTTAGACTCGGATCCCTGCCATCTGACTTAACCATTGAGCTCCCCTTCCTTCTGGAAGACTTGCTTCTGCCCACGTGTGGGTGGAGCATTGTGGGAAGAGAGGGAGGCAGGCGAGAAGGGAGGGGAAAGAGAGGACAGCAGTGGAAGATGGTAGGCTGAGGTTGGCCTTGCTTGTTGGTTGGTTTGCTTTCAGACAGCAGAGGTTTCTGCTCTATGGAATGGTGAGGGACTCGGAAGAGAGCCGGAGAATGGAGAGTTCAGGGAAGAGGTAGAGGCAGCGGGCAGGTGTGCGTGTGTGTATGTGTGTGTGTGTGCATGTGGAGCGGGTAAGCTTGGGAAGGAGAACCCCTCCTCTTCTGTGACAAAAGTAAAATGAAAAAATAAAAACCTCTGTTTTCTTTCAGTTAAGAAAAAGAAGCCTAAACTATTAAATAAATTTGATAAGACTATTAAAGCTGAACTTGATGCTGCAGAAAAACTCCGTAAAAGGGTAGGTTGATGTTTTTGTTTCACGCAGGAATGTGCAGTGGTTAATTGTTAAATGAATCCAGGCATTACTCTTGATTTGTTTGTTTTTCAATGTTCAGAGAAACAATCTTTGAAGAGAGTGGGTTTTTCCCCAGCAACATCAGTTTTGCGTGTGAAAGGAATCAGATGAAAAGAAAAATTGCAGCTGTGACGGCCAAATAGAAATAGAGCTTACCTTTACGCCAGCTCACTTGGGAGTCAACCCAGTTCCATCACATTCTAGTCCTGTGGCTTTGGGCAAGTCACTTGGCCATTGTGTGCCTCAGTTTTAACAAATGAGAATAATAATCATATTTTCTATTTGTGGGTTTTTTTTTGTTGTTGTTGTTTGTTTTTTGGTAAAGAATAAATGAGACTAGGGCCATCAATACTGTCAAGTACCATTTAAGTGGAGGTTCTAATTTCATAGCACCTCAATCCAAAAGAAAAAATAGGTAAGTCCCATACTCAGAGTAGTTACTGTTGGGTTCAAAGGCATTAGGTTTCACATTCTTCTCATTTGGGATTAACCTCAAGCACCTCCAGTTTTCAGATTGGCTTTTGTGTTGCTTTGATATTAGTAATTTGAAATATTGTTTACATTTGTTTCTAGTTATTACAGTGGTGTGTTGTTGTTGCTGTTTTTTGTTGGTTTTTAGTTTTGTTTTTTGTTAATCTTTACCTGAGGTATTTCCTCCATGATTTTTAGAGAGTGTAAGGGAGGAAGAAACATCGATGTGAGAGAGACATTGATTGGTTGCCTCCTACATGCACCCAGCCAGGGCCTGGGAACACACCTGCAACCCAGGTATGTGCCGACACTATACCACTGAACCACACTAGCCAAGGCTAGGTATTACAGTGTTTTAAAACTGTGAATTGACACAAATGGAAGTTATTTGTTATATAGATATATATTTCAGACAGGAATGAAGAGGTAGAGAGAGAGAGAAACATCAATGATAAAAGAGAGTCATTGATTGGCTGCCTCCTGCACATCCCCTACGGGGATCGAGCCTACAACTCGGAATTGAACCCAGAACTCTTCAGTCTCCAGGCCAACACTCTATCCACTGAGCCAAACTGTTAGGGCTATTTGTAGTCTTAACTCTGTCTTATTCATCTAGTTATTGGGCCAGATATTTATTGTATGTAAGGACATCTTCATTTAATAATCTACTTGTTCTTCATGGAAATTTCTCTTTCTCTACTCTGTACTTGAATTTATTCTCAATGTAATGATCCATAGTTTTCCTGTAATATCCCTTCTATCAGGAGACTTTGGTTGTAAGAAAAGGGACCTTGTACTCTAAGTAAATAAGCAACCACAATAAAAATAAATAAAGTAAGTAAGAAACTGACATGGGACAAGAATGTGCTTCCCACACATTTATTGGGAATGTACCAGCAAGTATGATGGCTTCTGCATTAACCTCCTAACCAACCAATAAAAACACAGCAACATCAAAGAATATTGCAGACTGTAAGTAAATAAGCAACTTGAATTTATATTCAGTCATTGTTCGCTAAATTAACACCATGGAATGATTTCTGAGTCCATTGTGTTCAACTCTATAAAATGAAGCCATCTACTGTTTCCAAGAAATTTGCATTTCTTAATAGAAGTGAAGCAGGAATCCTCTTTTTCTATCACCTTGTTTGGCATTCTCCACTTCCTCTGTAGTGGAAGTGGAGAATGCCAAACCAATCAATGTCTCTCTCACATCGATGTTTCTTCCTCCCTTACACTCTCTAAAAATCATGGAGGAAATACCTCAGGTAAAGATTAACAAAAAACAAAACTAAAAACCAACCAAAAACAGCAACAACAACACACCACTGTAATAACTAGAAACAAATGTGGAGTGCCTGTTAATAGGTGACTTTTGGGGATTAGGAACAAACAGCTTTAGAGAAGAATTTGGATTAATTATAATGCCTGGTGACAGCTCAGTTATCAAAGGGCAAATAGGTCAGGGGATCATAAACGTACTGGAACAATCCATAGAGTATCCTCTGGTTTTTGCTCATTTGGAGAAATGATGATGCTTTCCTTAAGGACCACCCTGTATCTATCACAGGATAAATAAAGGAGGAAGCAGTGGCCACCTAAGCTATTCTTGCTTCTGAAACAGCGAGGAGCCAAATTATTGACTGAATCATTAATTATTGACTAAGTTTTTTAGGGTTGTTTTATAGCTGGCATTTTCAAACTAAAGGCCCTATGTACAAAATTTGTGCATGAGTAGGCCTTTCTTTCCCCAGCTGCCAACACTGGCTTCCCTCTGGCACCCAGGACCCGGGCTTCCCTCACAGCCCTGGCTTTATCCGGAAGGTCATCCGGAAGGATGTCCAGTCTAATTAGCATATTATGCTATTATTGTTATAGATGACGCAACTGACTCCAAGAGCAGGGTCCCAGAAAGAATTGCCTTGCAGCCACAGAAAGCTAATGCAGGATACTTAGAAAAAAGTCACAGAGAAAAAGATATTTAACATGAATTCATCATTCCTTAAAATTATTCACAGAAGAAATAGAGCAGTGGTTTTAAAAACGAACTGTTATCCAAAATATACAAAGAACTCAAAAAATTAAACAATAAGAAAACAAATAATGATTTAAAAAACAGATCTTAACAGATACCTCTCCAGATGACAAGCATAAGATGCTCCAAGTCACATGTTATCAGAGAAATAAATATTAAAACACCAATGAGATACCACTGCACGCCCATTAGATGGGCCAAACTCTGATCACTGACAACACCAAAGGCTGTCAAGGTCATGGGACATCAGGAGCTTTCATTTATTGCTGATAAAAATGCAGAATAGCACCGCCACTTTGGGAGACAGTTCTGGTGGTTTCTTACAAAGTACATGTACTGTAATCGTACAATCCCAGAAAGCCTGCTCTTTGCTCTTTATTTACCCAAAAAGAGTTTAAAGCTTACATACACATAGAAACCTGTACATGGATGTTTATAGCACCTTAGTTCATAACTGCCAAAACTTGGAAGCAACCAAGAAGTTCTTTAGTAGATGAGTGGATAAATCAACTGTGTTACATGGAGACGATGAAGTAATACTCAGCACTAGAAAAAACAACGGAATATCAAGCCATGAAAAGACATGGAGGAACCTTAGATGTGTATTATTAAGTGGGGGAAAAAGCGAATCTGAAAAGGCTAGTTACTGTATGATTCCAATGGTATGACATTCTGGAAAAGGCAAAACTATGGAGACAGTAAAAGGATCAATGGATTCCAGGGGTGAGTGGCAGGCAGGGAAGAGGGGAAAGGGATGAATAGGCAACTCCTAGAAAAAGTATAGGGCTGTGAAACTACTCTGCATGATCCTATAATGGTGGATACAGACCGTGTACATTTATATTTTAATCTAAACCCCTGGAATGTGCAACACCAACAGTGAACCCTAAGAGACATCCTGGACTTTGGAAGGGGGCGGTGACGCTGTTTCCATGTAGGTTCATTGATGGCAACAAGTGTACCCTCAAGTGCAGGGTGTCGATCTGTACTTGTGTTGGGCTCCGGGGCATATGTGAAATCTCTGTGTTCTCCTCAGTTTTGCCGTGAACCTAATACTGCTCAAAAAATTAATACTGTGAGAGGGAGAGCAGATTTCAAATAGTGATACAATTACTTTCTGGCAATTAATGTAACTTAGAGAGTGTGTTCCTGGCTTGATTTAGCTCTGCATCCAACTCCTTATTTACTCTGCATTAACCTGCCTGTCTGTCAGGTAAGAGGCTTCTCTGTGATGCTCCCCATTATCTTGTGTTGGCACACACATCCTTCACCCAGCACAGTAATGATGGTGATGATCGTGATCATCATCATAACAATAATAACAGGTGACATTGTTCAATGCTTTCTGTGTTTGTAGACATATAGTCTTGTCTGCAAGTGCTCTCTGTATGTTTTCGGATTTGGCCTTGACAGCAGCCCCACAGGGTAGTGAAGGGCCTTCACGATCCCCATTGGGCAAATGAGACACCCAAGGCAGAGTCATCCGCTAGTTGTCTTAGGCCACACACCTTCCAAGTGACCCTCACCAGTCCGCCTGGCTCCGGGCCTGCACTCAGAACCACCACACTATGCACCTGTTTCTCCCCAGCCCTCGGTGCCGCTGGTGGCCATGATGTCTGGGTGAAGGAATAATTGTAAGGAGCTGTAGCAGGACGTTGTCTTCCGGAAGTAGGTGGAAGTAGCAGCTGGAGGGCCGTACAGTTTGCTTTGCACAGCGGCACTGTGAGGTGTGAAAACCCACTCAGTGAGGGGCAAACAGAAACCACAGTGAGTTTGCATTTCCAGGTGGACGGAATGGATGTATCAATTTATTTATAGGCCGCTGAGGGTCTGGGAAAGTTTAACTCTGCCTTTTTCCCATGGCTCCAAACATCCTGGACCTGCTGCTTCTGTTAGATGCCAGGACATGTGTGTGTCACCCTCTGGAGCGGTGCTGATGGAGTGGGGTGGGGAGAGGGCTCCTCAGCCCGGTGCCAAAACCCTCACCTGTGTACCTGTTGCGCATCCTCTGTTCTTTCTCTGCAGTGGTGATCAGTGACCTATCGTAGGTGCTTGGCCCATCTCCTTAAGGACCCATGTAAGCCTGGAAGGGGTCCCATGACACAGAAGCAGCAAGGCAACCAGATGGGCCAAATCAGCCCAGATATCCTATGGGTGACCAGAACCACGGTCACCGGGCCCTGGCATCCTGCATCCCTTTTTTTTTTTTTTTTTTTAATATATATTTTATTGATTTTTTACAGAGAGGAAGAGAGAGGGATAGAGAGTTAGAAACATCGATGAGAGAGAAACATTAATCAGCTGCCTCTTGCACACCCCCTACTGGGAATGTGCCTGTAACTGAGGTACATGCCTTTGGCTGGAATCGAACCTGGGACCCTTTAGTCCGTAGTCTGATGCTCTATCCACTGAGCCAAACCCTTTTCTGTGCATCCTGCATCCTTGTTCCCTACCTTTTTCCCAGGTGCTTCCGACTTCTCATCACAGACCCAAGACATTCTAGCTGCCAGCAGTATTTTTCCCCAACTTAAAACCTAAATATTTTTTTAAGAATGCATGCAGGAATTAGTACAGATAGAGGGAAAATGCAATTTCTTTTAAAGAAGACTCATATTACATTTGTCATGTTTCTTTCTGTCTTTTAAGAGATAAAGTATATTTATATGCATTTCTAAACTTTATGTTTCCAGAATACAATTAATTTAAAAAATAGATTAAAATGACTTTTAAATTCAGAATGGAGTCCAGGAAATGTTGACAGAATTACTTGGTGAATATTTAATAACTGTATTGAACAGCATCAGGCATTTGAATGTATTGTGTTTATATAATGATCTCTTCCTAACAGGGAAAAATTGAGGAAGCAGTGACTGCATTTGAAGACCTGATTCGTAAATACCCACAGAGTCCACGGGCGAGATATGGGAAGGCACAGGTATTCTAGAAATTAGATAAACTTAGATAATGGTGGGTGATGTCCTTGTGTTCTGTATAATTGGATTTCTGGTTGCCCACTTTTTGCATTTTCTTTTTCCCTTCTAACTTTTATACAGAATCAATTTCTCATGTGTATGCACAAACTCAAGCAAGAAATACTGTTTTAAATAAGACAATTCATTATTGCTTCTGTGTAAAGCTGAATGTAGAAACATTTCTTCCCCCTCCCTTCCTTCACCCCCCTCTCCCCCAATACGGCATCTCTGTGGTTTTGAAATGAAAATGAAGAATAACACTTTGGTCATTGATTTCCCATCACCCTTCCATTTCATCCCATTTAGACCCACTATATAATTTTCACATTAGACTCCTGAGAGCTTTTAAGAACCTCAGTTTTATAATAAGGGGTTGCAAGTGTGCTTAGGAAAGACTTTCAAACTATAAAAAGGAATATACTTATGTCCTCTGTAGTTTTCTTCTAGTTGGCTTCTTTCTGTCCTGCTCCCTCCCGGCTGTCCCCCATTCCCATCATCTCCGTTTCTGTATGACTTTCTCCATCGTCCAGCTCCCCATTCCCTCAGCTTTGCCCCCTTCACCTGTAGGGACATAACGCCCGGGTGCCACACCCTGTTTGGGCCCTGCCATTATCACAGGCTCTCCAGAGGTCTCTGTCCTGGTGGGTCTGGTATTCCAGTGGAAGACATTTTAAAAGTTACTCAAATTATTTCGTGAAAACCCACGATACACCAGACCCTGTTTAGGCACTGCAAGATGCAGCTGTCAACAAAACATGGATGTTTATTGTAACAGCAGAGCTATTGCATGGGACAAATGTGTAAATGTATACACCTGCTAGCGATGAGTGCTAAGGAGAAACAGCCTAAAGCAGAGAACAGCACTGGACGTGTGAGGAGATGAATTATGGGATAGGGGGCGGGGAAGGCGCTCCCGAAGAGGTGACATTTGAGCAAAGCCCTGAAGGTCTTTATAAAGAAATGTATATTCGGAGACTATTACGAAGTGTTAAAAATAAATATTAGATCCTTTGACGTATTAATACACGCCATAAGAAAAGAAGGGGATGGGATAAAGAGCTCACCTGTTAAGAGTTGGGGGCTGAAGGCAACCCCTCAGATCAGGTGATCAGACAAGGCCTCTCGAGGGAGGGACAAATTGCTGAGAGGAGACAAGGTTGTGGGAGGAGCTGATGAGGCAGAGGGAGCAGCAGGGCAAAGGCTGTGGGTGCAGGAGGGTATACGCTCCAGGACAGAACAGAGCGGCGGAGGGACAGGGAAGCAGGACAGGTGAGGCCAGGGCCTCACAGGTTGCCTCTTCTATGCATTGGGAAGCCACGGGAGGGCTTATTGGAGGGCTTTTGCATGGATGTGACTCTTAATTTCCTTTTTCATAAACTTCGTTGTGGCTGCTGGGTGGAGAATGGATGATGAGGGCAGAAACAGAAGCAAGAATAGGAGCCTCTTGCAGGTGCACCGGAGTGCTGTGGCTCAGCCTGTGGCCATGGCCGTGGAGATGGGGAGCTGGGCTGAGGGCAGAGCTGGGAGGACTTGATGGGTTTCGCTGTAAGGTCACAGAAAGCGGGGACTCCAGGATGAGTCTGGGTTTCTGGTTTGGCCACCTGAGGAGAGGATAGAGGAAGATCGGTAGAGGGACAGGCTTGGGCAGGTCCAAAATCCAAAAGTTGATTTTGGTCCTGTTATGTTTGTGCTGCCTGTTAGACAGTCAAGTGGGCATGTCAAGTTGAACCCTGGATTCCTGAAGTCTGGAACTCGGGGTGGAAGCCAGGGCTGACGTACACTGTTGGGCAGTGAAGGCCCTGCCTGGTGGCTGGAGATTGGTTTTCAGACCTGCTGGCAAACACCAGGTGCAGAGCTACCAAAATACTCCAGACACAGAGGAGCTAGTAGCACCCCGCCGGAGGGAGGCAGGGCAGTGACTGACGTGTGACACTCACCCAGGAATTCACACGTTTATGGACAAAGCAAGTACGTTTTGCTCGGAACTAAAGATCCAGATGCTCAAATTCTTCTTACCATTGAAAATGTATCAATTAAAGTTTAATGAATTAAGGTTATCAAAAATTGATGCAAATAAATTCCTCTTGCCCACATTATCTACCAGGTTTAGCAGATAACAATGGTATCATTTCTGTAAATGAATTTGGCCAGTAATCCTGCCAAATTGCCAAATTGTATTGCTATTCAACCAGAGAAAATGTGTTTCTGAAAGCTCGTGCCCATTGAAATAAGTGATGTCACTGATATTGATAGTCATTTGGTTGAGGAAAGCATGTTAACTAGGGAGAAAATGATTGGTGCAAATGCTAATTAAATTATGGCAGGAATGCTGTGTGCTTTAGAATGTTTCTTTATATGTATTATTAATGATGGACACCAAAATCCAAATAAATGCACGAATTATTACATGTGGTAATTGCTATGTTTACATCCACATGTAACAGTAGGAATTTGAGATTTAGGCCTCAGGTAATTTTTTTTTTTTATCTCTAAGCTATTATGCTATAAGGTGTTACTGATATTTATGTATTCTGACATAATGTAAAATTTAGGCATGTTAAATTACAGTTTAATAGAATAATTTAAAGGAAATTTCAAATGCATAGGAATTTTAAAAACAAAAGTTCAATGGAAGATTTTTTTAATTCTTACCCAGGGACATGGTCAGAGTAAGAAAGGAGGATGGGGAGGGAGGGAGAGAGAGACAGGGGGAGGAGGAGCAGGAAGGAGAGGGACAAGGAGAAACATCCTTATAAGAGAGAGACATCAGTCTGTTGCCTGGCAACCTTTTGGTGCACAAGAAGATGCTTAGCCAACTGAGCCACTCCTGGCTGAATAAATGATGACTTTTTCATCCTTTATTAGCAGATTATATAATTATTTTAGCACATCCCAACAAAATTTAAAAGCTCGGCAACATTAAGTTAAATACAAATTACAGTATGAATCATTTCTGAAGTAGCAATCCCATTCTTTGGGTCAGTGTGAAAATAAACGTTGGCTACGTTCTCTGAACATCCAGACACCAAATCTTAGGTTATAAACTCAATTCACCTTATTCTCTTACACGAACCATTAGTGTCACTGAGGCAGAAAATGACACATCTCCTAGGAAAGTGAGGTGGGCTGAGTCACTAAAAGGCTTTACCATGCCAGTGTCCTGGAACCAGTGCTCAGTTACCTGTGTGTGGAACAGAGCCTGGCTCCCAGAAAACATTTGTGGAATGAATGAACGAACTGATGGGAGACCAGGAATAGTGGACTGGAGACCTGTCTGTGTAATGTTAGTATATAACATGATATAAATCACCATCAATCCTAGTATATATTAGTCTCATTATTGTTTGTTTGTTTTTATATTCTTTTTGGCCTATAGCTTAGTAGCTAACTTTTCTTCATATTATTATTATTATTATTATTAATATATTTTATTAATTTTTTACAGAGAGAAAGAGAGAGGGATAGTTAGAAACATCGATGAGAGAGAAACATCAATCAGTTGCCTCTTGCACACCCCCTACTGGAGATGTGCCCGCAACCAAGGTACATGCCCTTGACCAGAATGGAACCTGGGACCTTTCAGTCCACAGGCTGGCACTCGATCCACTGAGCCAAACAGGTTTCAGCTTCTTCATATTATTAAAATAACATGTTGTATTGCTTTCCTTTGTTTATTTTTTTTTATCTCTTCATAAAGAGAAAACTTGTACCTATCTTGAATTATTTCTAAAGCACATACAAAAGGTCACTTTTCATGAATATCTCGGGTGATTATAAGTATTAATATTCCCTGTCAGGGGACATTAATTCGGTGTGGGCCTTCCTTTAGTGCGAAGACGACTTGGCTGAGAAGAGGAGGAGCAACGAGGTGCTGCGCAGGGCCATCGAGACCTACCAGGAGGTGGCCGGCCTGCCCGAGGTGCCCGCCGACCTGGTGAAGCTGAGTCTGAAGCGGCGCTCAGACAGACAACAATTTCTAGGTGAGGTGGAGGAAGAGAAGTTCATTCCCTCATACAGGCCATGCTTTTCCCTGGCAGAACCTGGGCGCTCCTAGCAGAGTCTAGTTACATGGAAGGTAACCTGAGTCCCAGAACTAATTTCGGGTCATTTACCCGGCTGTTTCTTAGACCGACATAGAAATCCCAACCTTGATCAATGCCGATGCTATTTTTACCGCCCCTCCCTCCTCACCCCACCCCACCCACTTTAAAAAGAAGTTATCGCTAATCAGTGAATAGGTCTAGAATAAAAGCCTCTTGCTGTCATGCCAAATCTCTTTTTTCTCTTAAACTTAGAACAGCCTGGTGCATGAAGGTTAAAGTGATCAGTGGGACCATTTTTGTAGAGGAATATTAAGAGTTTTTAGGCGCTCTGAAATTCTCCTTGTAAGGTTTAACTCTATAGCAAGGAAAATGTTAGGGAAATTTTTTTTTTTTTTTTTTTTTTTTTATCAAGAAGTGCTTTGAAAAGAACAGCATAAAGCTGCGTAACCCAGGCTCCCAGAGCCAAGGCAGTAAGACCGGCTGTCACCTCCCTTATCACCAGGCTGTGGTCCTCATCCTCCTAACATGTAAACTGGGAAGGAAGAACCTCAGCCCATGCTAAGGTGGGTGCTGGGCTGGCTGGGTCACTTACCTGAACCGAGACCTACCAGGAGAAGACGACACTAGGAGAAGCTTATATAAGTACTATGCAAGACAAAATGGCCCTTTTATCAGCTACCTGAGGGGTGGAATTAAAGGTCGAATGTCCCTTTGGTAGATGACAAATCTCTGATAGAAGGTGACCCAGGTGATGATTAAAGACAGAAGGACTGGTCAATTAAACTTCTGTTCCTAAGGATCCGTTCAGGGGAAGAAAAGAGTACGGCACACACACAGGTGAAGAGGGCAAGGCTGGCACGGAGGCACTCATCTTGGGTGCCACGTCCGTGTGGCCGAGCTGCCCTCTTGCCTCGGGCTCCAGCATGGCATTGGTTACTGAGTAGGTCCTTACATTTTTGATGTTTTGTTCATCCTAGATTTTTACATTCATTATATTTTAAAAGAAATACATAAAAATCACTCCTCTGGATGACTGAGTTTGGGGCACCCTCTTGAACTTGGGTGCCTCACCTGCCTTATTCCAGTCCCAGTCCTGGGGGAGAGAGGGCTTAGGGATAAAGCTAGCCCCCTTGCTGAAGCCGGTTTGGCTCAGTGGATAGAACATCGGCCTGAGGACTGAAAGGTCCTGGGTTAGATTCTGGTCAAGGGCATGTACCTTGGTTGCGGGCACGTCCCCAGTAGGGGGTGTGCAAGAAGCAGCTGATTGATGATACTTTCTCATCCGTGTTGCTAACTCTCTCACTCTCTTCCTCTCTAAAAAAAAAAAAAATCAATAAAAAAATAAATAAAATAAAAAAAAAAGGTAGCCCTCTTCCACGGCAGTCTTTCTTAGTCTCTTCCCCTGAGTGAGGAGGTTCTGTGAGGAGATGTCAGTGAAGGGGGCGCAGGGGTAAAGTTAACCGCCAGTGGAATAGGGTGCCATGATGCAGAGTGGAAAGGCTGGGTGTGGGGTAGCAGCAGGAGGGATTTTCACCTCGGGCTTTATACTGATTAATAGGGGAAGTTCAGAAACAGAAGAATGTCTGACATTAGTCTGGGCTGTTGAGGGACAGGAGTGATACTGAGTCAGACTTGTCAGTGAAGGAATGAATAGCTGAGCAAACCCATCCCAGCAAGACCAGCACTGGGGAGCCAGCCTCAGACAGATTGGTGATGTTTTGTGCCCAATATTTTATCTGCTAGTGGGGCATCCGCTGTTGATGGTCCTAAATGCCCGTGGCTAATATTCAGTTTGTGAGCAACTGAGCCCTTTGGATAATTACAGGTGTCATGTAGACTAGTCTTATTTTGCACATTTTCTCATACTCAGCGTGCCTTCCCAACTTCAGCAAGAAGTAATGCCAATTGGCTGCAGAAATTTTAGATTGCCACCAGGCAGCCTTAAACATGAATTGAAGTTAGGGTTTCCATGACTCTCGCGTGCGTAGCATCCTGTCGTCCAGCAGAGGGTCCCCTTACACTGGATGATGTCTCCTTTGCTGAGAGCATGGGTCCTCACCTGGAGATGAAGACACTCATCATTGGAAACACTGTCCACAGGGTACCTCAGGGCCCCTTCAAGCTCCACACAGGATGCTGGACCCCGAAATCAGTTAGATTTTTAACTTGTTTTCTATTCATAATTTTAAACTTAATCGTAACAAACAAAACAAAAAATCTCAGTAAAACTTGATTTTACAGAGAGCTGGTAACAGAAACTTTCTTAAGACTGAGTTTGATATAAAAAAAAAAAGCAAATGTTAATGAATTTAAAAAATAGGAAGGTCTTTATGTTTTTCCTTTTTTATTAAATTTATTAGGGAACATTGGTTAATATGATATAGGTTTCAGATAAGGGTTTCTATGTTACGATATATGGTGATGGGAAAAGATTTGAATTTGGGTGGTGGGCACACAGTATTATATTTAGTTTTTATAGGAGATACTGTTGCAACTGTATGATGAAATTCTAATAGGTACTTAGCCATCTATATATAAGAATTGGATTTAAGCTGATCTTCTGGCTCCAGTGAATGAATAGTCTGTCTTGATTTTAGTCTCACTATAAAAGTGTATGTAATCTGTTGTTATTTCTATTGGATTTTTTTTTTTTCTCTTTCCACCAAATCAGGTCACATGAGAGGCTCTCTTGCTACACTTCAGAAATTAGTTCAACTATTTCCTGATGACACTTCCTTAAAGAATGACCTCGGAGTGGGTTACCTGCTGATGGGAGATAATGAGAATGCCAAGAAGGTTTATGAAAAGGTGAGCAAGCTGCAGTCTTCCATTAACTACATCAAATTATTTTGAACACAATGGTCTAATGTTATTTGTAAATTACATTTAATGCATCCAATCTCTCATTCTCTTTATTTTAAACTTGGGGTCCAGTGCATGAACTCATGCACCTTGAAAGGAACTGTGGGCAGTGAGGCTACGGTGAGCACAGGAGTGGGTCTCAGCCCATCCTCCATGCCCCCACCGTGAGCCCCCAATACCCTGTCTGCCGGCAGCCCCACTCCCACAGCCACTGCTCCCATACAGAGACGGCACAGGCCCTGCTCCCACCTGCTGTCAGCACGGAGCTATTGGGGCCAACACCAGCAGCAGGTGAGAGCAGGCCCTGCACTGTCAGCGGCTGCTGCCTCAATGAGCAGGAGGAGATGGAGAAGCCCTCGGGGACAATTGGGGTGGCAGCATTGCACCCACTGATGGTGCTGAGCAATCAGGGGCCAGAGCCAGGCACTGGCAACAGGTGTGAGCAGTGGTGCCAGCAGCGGGTGTGAGCGGCAGCGCTGGCTGCATGTGCAAGTGGGACTGGTGCTGGCAGTGGGTGCAAAAGGTGGCTGCTGGCTCTGATTGTCCCTCAGGAGCAGGGGAGGTGGAGAAGCTCTGAAGGGCGATTGGGGCTGGCAGCTGCCACTTGCACCTGCTGACAGCACTGAGTGATCCGGACCAGCACTGGCAGTGGGTGTGAGCAGTGGCTCTGGCAGCGGGTGCATGTGGGGCTGGCGCCAACAGCAGGTGTGAATGCCCAGCGAGACCTTGGCGCACAGGAGCAAAGAATTTTCAGTAACCACCAGAGGCTTACCCCGATGATAGCACCCGCCTTGGTCTGGCACCCCTGCTCACCTGCCCCACCATCCCACCATGGCTGATGCCCACCATCTGCCTGCTGCTGATGCCAATCATGTTCCACGCACATCCCTGGTGGTCAGTGCACGTCATAGCAACTGGTTGTTTGGTTGTTCTGCAGTTTGGTCTATTTGCATATTAGGGTATTATATATATATATATATAAAGTTAAATGGCATGTATTATGATAGTTGACATCTTAGTTTTGTTTTCACATAGTCTTTTTCCCCATGATCAGAAGATCTTAGAGTTTAGTTGACACTTGGTCCATCAAAACCTTCAACCTATAATTGTGGTACTTTCAAACTTCATCTTTATTGGTCCACAAACAGCCTTTCTAAAAGTGTGCTCTATGCTGGAAGAGGAACTCAAGTGCTTTGGAAACATGAAAACATACTCTTTTCTTTTATTTTTTTTATTTTTTTTTTCCCCCCCACTAGAAGTCTGATCTAGAGAAGCTACAGAGCATGAGTTTCTTGGGCATGTAATGCTGGTGATCTTGATGCAGCATGTAGAGGGGTTCAGAAATCTGGAGAAGGTGCTGTGCATAAACTAAAGAGTCCAGAGATGGAACATAATTTTGAAAGGCATTTGGGGGCCAGAATAGCTTGGCTAAAGAAATCAAGTTCTCCTTGTCTCAGGACCCCTTGCTTTTTATTAACACAAATTGTCCTAAGGCAAGGCAAATAAACACTTAGAAGGCCAGGGGCTAGTACACAAATCCACTGTCAGATTATCAGGTTTGGGAGAAACTGCCTTTGGCTGTTCAGGTGTTTGGTCAGTAGGAGGCAATAACATGTAGATTAAGTTGCCCTCAGCTATCTGACAGCGAGCAATCATTTTATGCATCCTTTTCAGGTTTGGAGAAATGCCGTCAGCCACCTCCAGATGATTCAGCTCTGCTGGCATACTGGAATTGGCTTCTGGTAGGCATGGGGAGTAAATGACTCACCTCTCAGAGGGCCACTGACTCTGTTCCTCTAGCAGCGATGCCTTTGAAAGGATTTCTTCCTTGTAATGGACGTTTTTATAAATAACCTCTAGGTCACAAGTAACTGTAAAATTTAGAAAACTGTGACTCCTTTACGCAATCAGGGAGTTCACTTGGTATGGAGTAAACAGAATCCCAAAGGAGCTCTGAAGCTGGGGAAAGTTAATGTCTCGGTAAGAGAGGGGAACACAGCTGTCTATGGGTGTCCAGCTGGTGCTTTTGACATCAAAAGGCTGCTCTTCAGGGATGGTCAGTAGGATTTCTTCTGTTTGTAAAATGCTGGCAAGTTCAATGTAGTGAGTTCAGCCCCAGTCTGGGGACTGGTCCACTCATAAAGGGGTGCTCTCTTCCTTTTATTGCTGTCAATGCTTCATTGAAAATAATTGAATTTCAGAGCAATTGTCTTTTCATCCTTGTAATTGTTTTCTATCTGAGAGGACATAAATAAGACCTTTGCTTTTTATAGCATCTTGAGTATCTACAAAATGTGGATTGATCCTGCATCCACTAATATACATGGCCCACATCATAAAACATGTACGTCCATGTGGGGCATTGTATTTGTGAATGGCCTAAACATGACACTGAGTGTCATGCAAACTGTGGCTCACGAGGCACATACGGCCCTTTGGCCCCTTGAGTGTGGCTCTTTCACAAAATATCACGGCCTGGGCGAGTCTATTTTGAAGAAATGGTGTTAGAAGAAGTTTAAGTTTAAAAAATTTGGCTCTCAAAAGAAATTTCAATTGTTGTATTGTTGATATTTGGCTCTGTTGACTGATTTTGCCAACCACTGGGTTAGGAGACGCATGCTGTATCTCAAAGATTCAGAATTGTATGAATGTAAGAATTGTCAGACTATATCCAATATGCCCATTGTTCTGCCACTGCCAGCGGCCATTATATAAGATGGAATTATAGAATTCATTCCTCCTTCCCTACCTCCCTCCCTTCTTTTTTACATTCTTCCTTCCCTCTTTACATTCCTCCCTCCCTCCCTTCTTTCCTTCCTAAAATCATGATCAAGTATTGGTTGAGTTCTAAGCACATGTGAAGTTAAGTCAGTATCTGAAAACATACCAGTTTCTCTCACCCACTATGAATTTGTCCTTCCTTATCTTTTCAAAATTTTCTTTGAATACATTCACTTTTTTTTTTACTTGCTACTAAATCTGATACTTAAACATTTTACTTCATCTTGAAAAAAATAAAATCTCCCTGCTGTTGTTTATACATTTGAAATCATAATCCCATCTGAATAAGCACAACAGGATGCAGAAGGTCTAAACTGTAGTTGTCTAATACAATTGAGTGGGTTCCTTTTTAAAGACATATTAATAGACTGAAAAATACATGTGCGGTTTGCCTTTTATTTCTTCTTTCACTCCAGAGTTAATAAGCTGTGTCTAATGGATTCTCTTTCCTTAACCACAGTTTATCCTGATACGTTATGGCACAGTCTAAGATCATTTCCAGAAAAGTGATAGTGTAATTTTCTATTTTTTGCATGTCGATTTTTATCTTTGAGTAAATTTATACTTTTTTCCTTTTCTGGGTTTTTGTTGCACTTAGTTTCAACAAAGACCAACTTTAAAATGGTTAGATCTAGGTTGTTTGCACCTACAGCTCTTGGAGGTGCTCCTATGTCTCCCTCCTCTCTCAATGTCACCCCAATAACCCCCTAAATTCTTCTTTATGCTTTGCTTAATCAATTCCTCTTTATGGAAGCTGCCACAGCAGCCTGGGAAATGGTGGCTAGTGGTACAAACATAGCATATCCTCATGGGTCCACAATCCGGTACTCAATCACTAATTCCTCTTTATTTTCTGAGTATCTTTCAAATCCTCTCCATTTTAAACAGATTTATCCTGTCCAGGCCTGACACCTCTGCTTTCATTCACACCAGTCACAGATCTGACCATCCATCCTCGGCTTAGCTCTTTAGTGGTTCCCATTGCCCAAGCAGTGGTCTTGTTTAATATTCCAGTGTAAAATATTCAAGTAGCCCTCACCGGTTTGGCTCAGTGGATAGAGTGTTGGCCTATGGGCTGAAGGGTCTCAGGTTCGATTCTGGTCAAGGGCATATGCCCAGGTTGCGGGCTCGATCCCCAATGTGGGACGTGCAGGGGCAGCCGATCAGTGATTCTCTCTCATGATTTATGTTACTATCTCTCTCCCTTCCTCTCTGAAATCAATTATTAAAATATTCAAGCAAATATCTGCAAAATTCATGTTCATAGACTGATTTATCATGGACATTGTAAAAGCTACTCCAAAATACGTTTTAAGATGAAATAATATGTTGGTATTTTAAAATATTTTATTTAACTGCCAAAAATATTTTTATTCTCCCCCAAAAAAATATATATTTCAGTAATATCAGTGTGTAATGCTATTATGATTATATGACTTTTAAATTTCTGGTAATGTCATGCACAGTTTGTATTGTGACTAGAAATGGCAGCTATACCATTTTTGTGTGTGTGTGTGTGTGTGTGTGTGTGTGTGTGTGTGTGAAAGAGAATTTGTGTTATATTGTTAGTATTAACATCAGTGTGGCATTCTTAGAGATCTTCTAAAGCCACTTGTCCTTTGCTGAGAGTTTGTTGATTGCAGCTGGATAATACAGCCTGCACATCCCTCATGCACTGCATGTGAACTGCAGCGAGCACAGAGGGTGATCATAGCGAAGCAAGCAGGGAGGCGGCCTCTGGTTGCCTCACGGACCAGCCTCCCCTCTCGGTCACATGTGTATCAGTGGGATGTGGGACTCTCTGCCATGCAGATGAGGGAAGAGCCCTGGAGCCTGCTGCATACTACATGTTACACTTCAAAGACAGGCAAACAGAAGCATTTTAAATTTCTGCTCCCCGGGAGATTATCTTGGTCATGCAACAAAACAGAAGCTTCTATTTTGTGTGTGTGTGTGTGTGTGTGTGTGTGTGTGTGTGTGTGTGTGTTTTAGCAGAGCTTTTGTGATCTGCCTTCTGCCCTCTATCCCCCATACTCCCTTTCCATGATGAACTCCTATTCAACCCTACACACCTTTCAGATGTGGCCCAGCCACATCCACCTCAGAGTGAGCTAGGTGCCCCTCTGCTATACTCCCTGCATGCCTCATGCCTATCACTATAGTCACACCACATCGCACTGCCATTGTCTGCTTATGGGTCCGTCTCCCTGCCCCACTGGGAGCTCCCTGATAAAGCGAGTGTCTCTCGTTTATGTGTATATGTCTGGGGCCTAGAAGAGGCCTGTGTGTTCGACAATGTCTAGTAAAGGAGTACCTTGCTAATTACTTGAGATGACAGCTGTGTGTCTAGAGCAAGCAGAAATGTCACCTGTGTGGCTGTACTTCGTATACTAATCCCTTCAAAGTTATGCTACCGGAAACAAGTTCAGCCTCAACTCCAGGGGAATTTGTTGAGCTCTTCTCGGCATCCAGCCTGGTCACAGGTGCTGGGAAGGTGCAGCTGCAGAGCTTGCTTTCAGAGCCCTCGTTGGGGAGGAAAGCAGCATGCATACATCCGCTCAGTCATTGCAGACTGACTTCTTCACAACCTGCCATGTGCCGGCTACTGTTCTAAGCACTGGGGATCGGCAGTGAGTGTAACAGACACAATCCCTGTACTGCTTATTTCTTAGTCGGGGAAATAAAAATAAGTCAATGGAGATAAGCATTACAAATAAAGAGGAGTCCGGATAAGGAGGTAGAAAGTGACTAGTGATGGGGAGGGGATCTGTTTTATATCTGGTGGTTGGGCGCAGGCTTCACTGAGATGGTAACCTTTTATCAAGGTTTTCACTTTTGCTCCATAAATGAGTTTGTTTAAGCAGCTTCCTGAGTTGAATGTTATTGTTTTGATTTCTCACTGCTGATTTTTATTTAGAGGCATTTTGCATAATTAATTGTAATCATAATAAATGCATAAGACAAACTGTAATTTGACTTATTTTAAATATTTACCTGGGTTTTATCACAGAATATTGGATTTGTTCACCTCTTTATTCTCAGTCCTTAAAAATGGCTAGACCTTAGCCTGACAGGTGTGGCTCAGCTGTTGAGCGTTGACCTATGAATCAAGAGGTCATGGTTCGATTCCAGGTCAGGATGTATATGCCCAGGTTGAGGGCTTGACCCCCAATGGGGAGGCAAGCAGGAGGCAGCCGATCAATGAGTCTCTGTCATCTTTGATGTTTCTATCTCTTCCTTACTCTCTGGGAAAAAAAATGTTTTTTAGAAAATGCTAGACCTTCAAGAAATTTACATTGAATCAGTAGATCATGATACATTACAAATGCAAACCAAGTTTTCTGTTAAGGTAATGTATAAGGCATGTATGTAAAGAAGTGTATAATCATTCAGAGTTGACTTTGAGATAGCAAATGTAGTTTTTCTTGATTACTAAAAATATATTGAAGTCATAACAATCGACAGATGTTTTGCTAATTTCATTGTTAAAGTAACACTCTTAACAGTCGTTGCCTTTTCATATTTATTCCTTCATTTTTCAAGAACTAATGTGTGGGTGTGAAAACATCGAGTTGAGAGGAAATGAGGCCATTTAAGCTTAATATATTGCAATGAAACTAAACACTAGTGTTTTAAAGCTGTAACATCATGATCCAAATAGAGCAAAGCTAATTAGAATGTGTTTTGACAATCATTTGTAGAATTTGTTGTCAATCACAGTGGCTTCTTTTTCTCTGAGTTTAGGTTCTGAAAGTGGCACCAAATGATGGCTTCGCTAAAGTGCATTACGGCTTTATCCTGAAGGCCCAGAACAAGATTGCAGAAAGCATTCCCTATTTGAAGGTAACTATCCCTGCCCTTGCCCTTGGCTCATTTTCCGATGATTCTGAGTCAATCTTTGTACATCAATTGGCATGCACTGCTGAGTCTTTTCATGGTGAAAATATACATCTTCTGACCTACATTTGATACTAGGTCAGAAGATGTATATTCTTAGGCCAATGTGGACCTTCACCAGGAATGAGAGTATCAAACGTAGAAACACCAACTGTCTGAGCAGAGACTCTCTGGAAAAGACTTTTATGAAGACATTTCTAAAACTGAGGTCATTATTAGTTTGTATTGAAACTATAAAGGTAGGCCAAAGTTACTGACATAATATTTTAAAATACGGGCAATGAATTAAATGATTGAAACTAGTTTGATTAGGGCCTGGGACAGCTCATACAAAGTGAGGTAAAAAATGCAGCCTGAAGAGGTCAAACTCCAAAAAGCCTGGTAGCTCAGAATACTCAGATTAAACTATGCTGTCGTTTTTCTGTATCATATCCAGTTGCATCTTGGTCAACTGGCTCAAATCACATTTGGTCTAGCTCAGGGCTACCGGTGAATCTGTCACCACAGGGGACATGCCCTCTGTATTCCATTCTAGTAGCCAATGGCCACACGTGATGACTGAGAACCTGAAATGTGGTGGGGTATGACTGAAGAATTGAAATTTTAATTTTAATTAATTTCAAATTAAATAATGACATGAGCCAGCAGCTCCACATTGGACAGGTAGCTGATTGAATGTCAGTGAATTTTTTTTTTAAGTAGCAGTATATTATACTTTCATGATCTCTTTCTTTCACAGGGCTTGAATCAGAGGTACCAAGTAGCAGCCCACTGATTGCAAATAGCTTGCACGTTATATTTAGCCAACATAACTCTTATTAAAACAATTTTAATTGCTTGCCTGTGTTGAGAATCTGCACATTTTATATAATTATGCAGACTTCTGGTTTCTCAAAAAGGTCATATCTGGCTCACATCCCAGCACGGGAGTGAGGTGGGCGTGCACCCCACAATCTGTCTTGACTGTCACGGGGCCTCTGCAGACTTTTCCATCCCCTGCCACGACTCTGTGGGCATGTGTGTTTCTCTGACTTAAGGTGTTTTCTTAGGTTTCCTTTGACACAGGAAAGGCGTAGCGGGACTCTCCCTGCTTCAATGATGATGAGATATGGGAGGCAGGGTACTCCATTAACAACTGAGGTCATTGATTGGAGTGTCATCCAGAACCCTGATCACAACTCTGCTTCTCTCCTGTTTGTTGCAGCTACTTCTCAACATTATTTTTTTTAAATATTTTTATTGATTTTGTACAGAGAGGAAGGGAGAGAGAGAGAGAGTCAGAAACATCAATGAGAGAGTCATCGATCAGCCGCCTCCTGCACACTCCCCACTGGGGACGTGCCCGCAACCAAGGTACATGCCCCTGACCAGAATCGAACCCAGGACCCTTCCATCCCCAAGCTGATGCTCTATTCATTGAGCCAAACCCGTCTCGGCTACTTCTCAACATCACGCAAATAAAATTTCTTCTCAGGACAATGGACTTCTTGTGACAAAGTCTCAAAGATGCAGATTTTTAAAAGGAAATCCTTGATATTGAATATTTTTTTCCTTTGTCCTTTTTTATTTTTTAAAGTTTATTTTCTTGCTTTAGTATTTTCTCTCTTTTTTAATATAAGTCTCAATGTCAGTCTTTATGGGAGAGATGGAGATAGATATCAGCTAAGTGTTTTATAATAAGACTTGTTTAATAACAGTTACATTCTCAGAGATTCCAATTAGTTTTAATCCTGTCAAATGTTTTACAAAATACTAGAGACCTGGTGCACGAAACTCGTGCATGGGTGTGTGTGTGTGTGTGTATGTGTGTGTGTGTGTCCCTCAGCCCAGCCTGCACCCCCTCCAATCTGGGACCCCTCAAGGGATGTCCAACTGTCCATTTAGGCCCAATCCTCACAATTCAGGACTGCTGGCTCCTAACTACTTGCCTACCTGCCTGCCTGATTGCCCCTAACCACTCTGCCTGCCAGCCTGATCATCCCCTAACCACTCCTCTGCCTTCCTGGTCGCCCCCAACTGCCCTCCCCTGCAGGCCTGGTCCCCCCCAACTTCCCTCCCTTGCAGGCCTGGTCCCTCCCAATTGCCCTCCCCTGCTGGCCTGATTGTCCATAACTGCCCTCCCCTGCTGGCCATCTTGTTGCGGCCATTATGTGTCCACATGGGGGCAGCCATCGTGTGTGTTGGTAGTGACAATCAATTTGCATACTACTCTTTTATTAGATAGAATTTTGTTAAAAGGTGAGGAGAGCACATTTGTTTGGAGAGGGAAAAACATTACTTGCAGTTGGGCCTCTGTCACTTCAGACATATGAGTAACAAAACATGTTGGTTCAGGCATTTTTAAACAAGCCTCTAAATGACAAATGTTTAGATTTGGAAAACCAAATAAATGTATTAGTACCTGGCCAGAGAAATTATGTGGGATACTGAAATATGATCACATCCACAGAGACAATTCACAAAGCAATGGTGCTAATTTTATGGGCTAATCTGCTGTTAATTAATGATGAATGTATTGTTAAAGTTTAACTTTTATTAAACCTTCTTTTGGTTTTGCATTGTAAATATTGACTGGTAATCTAGTTGCCAAACATTAATGTTGAGATGAATTTGTCTGGTTCTTCGATTTTCAACTGGTATATAAAGATTAAGTAAATCAATGAATTGATTGTGGTATTCTTCCATAAATGCTAACATTGTCTTTTCTACAGGAAGGAATAGAATCTGGGGATCCTGGAACTGATGATGGGCGATTTTATTTTCACCTAGGGGATGCCATGCAGAGGGTTGGGAACAAGGAGGTAATGTATTTATGAATGTTTTTATTCTAAAAGAGGACGGAGTAGGGGTAAATTATTTCTAAGACAGTATACTTTTTTAACATAATTTTTTGAAGGTGATAATTTAAGCTTTTTTGAAACAACCCAACAACTCTTACTTAATCTTCTAAAGAATGTTTGGACATTGGCTTCTGTAGTTTCTTTCAAGAAAGTATCTGAGTGAATAATCATAAGAGCGGTCTCTAAATAGGGCTGTGTGTGTGTGTGTGTGTGTGTGTGTGTGTGTAGGCGCACCTATGTGTATATCTCTGTGTATGTATAAAATGGTAGACATTTGCCTTGAAAAATATTTTCAAAATATGAAATAGGTATCCTTGAAATTGTTTAAGTATTTTAAAAATATTTTAACAGTTTGCTTAGATTTATTTTTATTTGGGAACTTAAAAAGTGGTTATTTCAGAATGACATCTTAATTCAACTGATTCCTAAGCTCCCTGAACCCCATGGTTAATTACCTTGTGAAATATTTAATATCAAGTTTAAGATGACACACCTGTAGGAAGAGTCATAACAAGTACTGACTCAAAAAATGTAGTAGCTGAAACTAGTTACATATTTTCTTTATGGCTGTTAACATTTTCTGAGTCAGCTTCTTTAAACACATTAGGTCATTAGTCATGATATGTAAATTTCAAAACACTCCCAATCAGCCCACCCTGGTTTACAGGACATTGCTGGGAGGTGAAACCCACCTCCAGGTAAGTGCTGCACCATCACACGGCTCTAGACTGGGCTCTCCTTAGAGCCGTGGATAAAAGGATGAAGTGAGACTCTGAATTAGAAATAAAGGGAGAAAAAATTACTGACTAGCAGTCACTTTTGTGTTCCTTCGTTCTTTTAGATGTAGATGCCTGCTACCTCCTTTGAATGAGAGGGATAAGAAAGACTTTGCTGCAATATTCTAACACTGGATAAGTGTTCATGTTTGATTTCTATAAATGTAATTATTCCCACTGATTAATTATCTTTGAACATCTCAGGGTCCAGGACAAAGAAAGATAGATCAAAGAAGTCTATGATTTCTTCTCACATCTTAGATGAAAACAGCCCTTACTTCAAGGGCCAAGCATTCACTGCTGAATACCTGTTAGGGGGTTGGGATTTGAACTTAGGAGACTGTTGTTCAGTCCGCTTATTATTAATATGCGCAGAACAACACAGTTCTTGAATTTTAGAAGTTCACGAGGACTCATCCTTACAGTGGAATGAAAGCAAGTGGAATGTAGAAACCCCATGTTAGTATATTCTTAAAAAAAAAATTATTGATTTCAGAGAGGAAGGGAGAGGGAGAAAGAGAGAAACATCAATGATGAGAAAGAGAATTATTAATTTGATGCTTCGTGCAGACCCCACATTGAGGATGGAGGCTGCAATCCCAGCATGTGCCCTGACCAGGAATCGAACCAAGACCTCTTGGTTCATAGGCTGATGCTCAACCACTGAGCCACACCAGCCAGGCAAAGCCCCCTGTTAGTACATTCTTGATGTTAGGTATGGAATCGGTGAACTGACTGTCATGCTCTGAGTTTGCCCATTGGCAAGCAGCTGTCTTCATGTTCTCTGCTTGGAGCTCAGCTCCAAGCCTCACGAGAGAAGCAGACCTACAGCCTCAGTGCTGCAGAGCCTGCTGTAAAGTTGCTTTTGAGGAAGGTTTTCCTAGTGGTTCCCTATGGATAGGAGTGGGAGGAGACAGACCATGATGGTCTCAGCAATTCACACTCAGCTGTTCCCAGTATTTCCATAACTCCCAGATCCCCATCCCAGCTCTCCTCCCACTCCAAGTCCAGATCTGTACGTCTGTTGCCCGCTTAATGCCAGCACACCGTGTCACAGAGACAACTCTCTTATCTTCTTCTAACCCATTTTCCTTCCTGGATTCCATCTCTCATTTGATGACATTACCAACTTCCCAGGATCTGGACTGGAATCAGCTCTAGCTCCTCCTCCTCTGAGAGCCCTCCCATCCAGACAGGCCAGGATCTGAGAGCTAGCTTCCTGGTGTCTGGCGCCTGTGTCACCTTCCCTCTTGCTCAGTCCGTGTTGTCTGTTGTCACCTTCCATGTAGCGATGGCGGTGAGAACCTGGCTGTTGTTTCTCGCTTTAGACTTAACTTGCATTGTATGCTCAAACACCCTCAGTGCAAAAGAAAAACCAGTCTGATTGCCGAGTGATGGCATTCAGGGTCCTCAGACAGGGTGCAGCCAACTGTTCGCACCACAAGTGTATCTCCCAGGTCCCACTGCGCACAGAGCCCCAGGCATAGTGGACTCTGGCCGGGGCCACGTAAGACATAGCCTGTTCCCTAGGAGTGGCCTGGGGTTTTCTGAGTTGGAATCATTTGACATGTAATTTCTGTCGTGTTGTGTGTGTGTGTGTATGTGTGTGTGTGTGTGTGTGTGTGTGTGTGTGTGTGTGTTTGACCGACAATACCTGGCAATAATTTGAAGTATAGAAACACATCTATTTAGAAGGTACTCTATTTCAGTATTCTTGGTAAGAAGTATAAAAGGAAACAGTAAAGACATTTTCAAAGGATTCTAACTTGATTTTCTTGCAAATTCTTATTGAAAAGTAGTTTAGATGTGTTTGTGTTTTTTTTCCTCTTGCTGAATTCATTGGGTCCTCTATGTAATTGAAGATGATTTTACCTTCGTTGAGAATATCATTGAAAAGTAGCTGTGTAGGACATTGTTAGGAGCTGTGGGTTCTAGTTCAAGATTGTAGCCTTTTTAAGCCTCAGCTTCACAGTTCTTGGAATGATCAACTGCTGATCACACATAAAAGCAAGTAAACTGAAAAGAATTACTGAAAATATGACGTGGTACTGCTATCACCCTTGATTTTCCTAGCGAAAGAATTTTCAAAGTATGAATGTTAAGACATAAGTCACTGTAGTTAACATGTAAAGTATATCTGGAGTTTTATGAACATCTTTATCTGCTTGGTATTAAAAGGTGGTGTGTAATTGATTTAAATGTGCATTGGAAATCACTCTTTAAAAGTAATCATTAGATCAGATTTGCAATAAGGGAGGAGTTACTATCGCTAGAGCACTAGATTGTCCTCTGCCCTGAGACAACGGGTGTGTGTCTGGCCCTGGGGGAGCCTGTGGGGAGGGCCTCCAGAGAGCATATGGCCGGGCATTGTCTGAAGGAGACACATGAAGCAGCACGGTCTGCAGCTGTCCCTGGAAAGGCTGGTCTTCTTGGAGGCCAATCATATCATGTTACAGCTAGCCTAAAGCCACAGATGTTATCCTTATGGAGGGGGCGGGGAGAGGACAAAAATCCCCCTTTTAAAAAATCTATTATGGGCTATCACTATATTAATGCCAACTCAGAATACAATTTCCGTTTGTCTACGTAATTTTTAAAAGATACCTTTATATATATATATATATATATGTGTGTGTGTGTGTGTGTGTGTGTGTGTGTATGTGTATATATATATATTTTTTTAAATTGAGTTTTAGAGAGGGGGAGGGAGAGAGAGAGAGAGAGAGAGAGAGAGAGAGAGAGAGAGAGAGAGAAACATCAATGATGAGAGAGAATTATTGATTGGCTACCTCCTGCACACCCCACACTGGGGATGGAGCCCACAACCTGGGCATGTGCCCTGACTGAGAATCAAACTGTGACCTCCTGGTTCACAGGCCGACGCTCAACCACTGAGCCACACCAGCCTGGCTTGTCTAATTAATTTAATGGAGCATTTACACTGTTACCTTGGGTGGCCTTCCTGAATGCGGACACGGAAAGAAAAACACAATTTTAGAATTCTCATGCAGTAAATACAGATATCTTTGAAGAAATGATCAAGATCGCAGCTCTTTTAAAAGGAAACTCAAACACAGAATTTAAGAGATAAAAGGTAGACTATATAGTCTACATCAGTGTCCAAAATAGTTTATTACTCAACAAATAAGACCTAGACTCTACTGAACACTGAGGGAGACCCGAGTGCACGCGGCACGAATCCTGTGTTAAAACACCACACAGCCTCGGACAGAAAATAAAATCACCCATTCCCTTGTCCGCATGGGTCATAACCAGGGACTCAGTACAAGAACAGTTCTCACAAGTATAACTTAGTTGGGCACGCCTGACCAGCAAGCTCTTTATTTCACTGTCACAAAGCAGTACTTGGTTATTGGTGACTTTAATTTTAAAATTATATAGTAAAAATGCCTCCTTTGCAGATTTTTTTTTTTTCTGTTCTTTCAGGCGTATAGGTGGTACGAGCTTGGGCACCAGAGGGGCCATTTTGCATCCGTTTGGCAGCGCTCGCTCTACAATGTGGACGGACTGAAAGCCCAGCCATGGTGGACCCCGAGAGAAACAGGCTACACGGAGCTGGTGAAGGTGAGTGTTGACTCAGACTGTCTGCCTTCTCCTCACAGCCAGGATGCTTCCCGTGGAAAAGAATGTCAGGGCGGAGAGAGAGTTTATATCTCCGGTGACATTAGCCGAACGTTTAGTTGAGATGGTGAAGAAAGAAATTTTTCTTAAAGAGCAGTTCTCACACATTTTGGCTTCAGTACTCCCTCATCCTCGTAAAAAGTGTGCAATCTTTAGATAACTGTTTTACATTTTTCCGGGTTTTTTTGTTTTGTTTTGTTTTCGAGAATGTCTTGAATAAAATGTGTCTACGAGGCTTTAGTGATGAATGTAGTCTACTTGGGGAAGAAGAAAGGTTGCAATGTGCTCTCCATGTACTTATGTTGAATATGTCTTACCTGACTATGTTTACTCTGCATTTCACTGTAAAAACACACTTCGTGCCGAAACCGGTTTGGCTCAGTGATAGAGTGTCAGGCTGTAGACTGAAGGGTCCCAGGTTCAATTCCGGTCAAGGGCATGCACATTGGTTGCAGGCACATCCGTGGTAGGGAGTGTGCAGGAGGCAGCTGGTCGATGGTTCTCTCTCATTGATGTTTCTAGCTCTCGATCCTTCTCCCTTCCCCCCTGTGAAAAAAAATCAATAAAATATATTTTTTAAAAACCACACTAGATAATCATCATAAACAAATTGTGACCCATACTATTCATCATAATCCAGTGTAAAGTCATCTGCCATCAGTTAGCCTCTGAATACCTTATGCATCAGAAGAGCATGGTGTGGTGACAGTGAATGCAGATGGCTTGAAAGTTGTTCTATTTCCTAAGCAGAGAGAGTACAGGGAAAACAGCCTCCCTAATGCATGAACTGCCTTTAGCATTATTGGTGATTCTTTCCTTTGTAAAAGTCCATCCTCTCTCGGATTATATCACACTGGGCGCTTCTGGTTCTCTCCCAGCAAATCTTTTTCTCTTGGTCTCTTTGTACGTCTCTTTCTCTACTGTAGCTTTTAGGATGCTTTCAAGTTCAAGTAACGGAAACACAGCTCACACCAGGAGGAATCGGATCGGCTCCTGGGAAGGAGGCCTGCGGTAGGCAGACCTGGGGCTGTGTAATTGGGGAAGGTTTTCCTGTCTGTGCGCCGCCTCTGCGGTCAGTTTTGTCCTAGAGCCAGCTTTCTCCAGGATGGCTGCCAGCAGCATCTAGAATTGGGGCAGACAGGGAAAATTGGAAAGGATTTGGGGGCTTCTTGACATTGTTCAGCACCACACCAGCCCTACATGGCCTTCTAGAAACCTCCAAACAGTCCCTGTTCTCTTGTTCTTCATAACCATGTCGCATGGGTACTCACAGTTATAAGGGAGTCTGAGAACCCAAGTAGCTGGCAACAGGCTGAGGTAAGAAGCTTCCAGCAGGAGAAAGACTGTCCCTGTCCTTCCAGCAGGGAGCAAAAGTCTTTCCTTTCTGTCTAATGGTGTCAGCTGAAGTCACATTTCCGTCCTGGATGAATTATTGGCAGGGAGATGTGAGATTTTCCTTCAAACAATTGATCAACCCCTGGAGTGGTGAAAGGTCTTACTCCTCTACAGTCAGTGGATTATCTGCAGGAGGGTGGATATCTGAACTAAAGCAGGGTTCTGTGAGGAAAGAGGAAGAGGCACAATGGATGCTTGGAAGGTGACCAAGCGTTAGGTGCTCTTGCTGACCCCACGTGCTCTCAGATCCTAACGTGGATCCTCACCCAGGTGTGAACACCTTCTAAATCTGGTAGCCACCATGCTTTGGCCAAAATCCTTTTAGGATTATCACCCACATTCAGGCTTTTCTGTGACAGTTAACTGCCATGGATGGTACATTTTCCTTTAAATTATCCCCATGGTGTGTTCCAGGGAGACGTAGAGGGTCATTTTCTTGAAGGCGTGGGACAATGTTAGTAAAAGTCATCATTTGCTTTCCACTTTTGTTGATTGTCATTGTTGCCCCTTATTGTGTACTTTGCCATTTGGTGGTAGTGATGGTGGTGGTAGTGGTGGTGGTGGTGAGAGACTATGCAACTCAATGGAAAATATTTAGAGAAAAATATTCCACTCCAGTTTTTTCTCGTAGGTCTGTGCTCCTTAAAAGTTAGCAGGTGGTTGTCCAAATCACAAATATCAGAGCCCTAAGTGCCTTGGGGATATTTAACATAGAAATTGAAACAAAAATGGATTAACGTCTTTGTTAGGATATAAATAGGAAAGAGAAAAGAAATCTCCTCTCCTGGGGAAAAAAGCCATCTTACCATAAGAAAGCTGCTCTTCCTTTTTCTGAGACTATCCTTTGATCCACCTTATTCGGAGGCGAGTTTAGTTGCATGCATAGAAAGAACATACCAAACGCAACAGCCAGGAGCAATGGGAAACCAGTATTTAACGCATCTCTTTAGTGTTTGTTTCTCCTGCTACCTGACTCTGTCCTCCCTTCTTCCCTGGGGACAAGGAACATCCTGGCATCTTTTGAGTGTTTGGGTGTTTCAGAACTGCTGCTCAAATATAAACAGATCACACGCAGATAATCTTTCCTTTCCTCATATTGTAGTTATAGTTCAGTGAGAGGAGGGCCCAGCGATATTTTGCTGATGGTGTGGCACAGTACTTAAGAATGATTGATTAGAAAGATAAGGCTCTCTGTCATGTTCCTTCAGACTGGAGCTTTTCCTAAGAGATCTGTTGTATATGAATAACGTCATCTGGACAAAGGAAAAAAAGGAAGACATCCAGTAATGACATTAGTAGTTCAACATTTCTAGTGGTGTAATTAAATATCTGGATGTTTTCACTGAACTGCTTTTGAGATGAGATGGATTGAGAAAGAAGTAAAAATGTCAGAGTTACAGTGGAATTAAGCTGTAAAATAAGAGGATTCGTGATTTTTATGAAAAAGTGTTAGGAATGAGGCCGAGCTGGAAGCGGTGTCTTAAGATCAGCTAATAGCATAATCCTATTTTTGTGATTCAAAGCTTAAGCTTTTTGGAAACCAATGATACCGTCACTGAAAATGACATCCTCACCAGGGGAGTTGAGAGAACTCGGGGAATCTGCTGGTTGTAGGATTTTAAAGGAGGACTCTTTGAACGGGGGTCTGCAGTTGGAAGCAGGTTCATTTTGTTCTCAGCTCTGACACCTTGGGCAACTCATTTCACCCATCGAAGCAAAGTCTGTTTCTTTTATCTTTAAGTTCCAAATAACAGCCTCTGCTTTTACTGTCCTTTGAGCTTTTAGTAAGGCTCAAAACAAAAACAAAATGCGACAAAAACCCACTGTCAAGGGTGTGCCTGTGTATGTTTGAATGTGAGCCCTTCGTAAGAGTAGACACTGCTAAGGTTTTAGGACTGGACTGCATATGATGTCACGTATAGCAATAGCAAAAGGAAAAAATATTCTCTATTCTTTGAATTATTCCAAACTAAGGTTGTTTTCTTTCTCAAAGTGAAATGGGTAGGTTTTCATTATTTGTGAATGGGGGAGGGGGGAAGAAATATGCTAAAAATTGGCTTTATTTGTGGCTTTCTTTGGGAACTCACAGCACAGTGTTTGATACTTTAGGACCCTGGTTGGCAAACTGTGGCTCGAGAGCCACATGTGGCTCTTTGGCCCTTTGAGTGTGGCTCTTCCACAAAATGCCACGGCCTGGGAGAGTCTATGTTGAAGAAGTGGCATTAGAAGAAGCTGCCCAAATGGCCATGCTCATAATGACTGGCCTTCCCTTTGCTCCATTCCTGTGATTAATAACTAGCTCATTACAGTGGTGTCACATACACGTTATAGATCTTCCGCTGATCTGTTTATCAGGTGACATATTTAGCGTGTACACAGAAAGCCTCCCCATCAGCTTAGCCCCTTCGCTTTGGGGGGTTTGCTCCTAGCTGTAGCTCCCTCAGGATGTAGCTCAGCTCGTTGTTCACAGTAGGTAGAGCCACGCAGAGACCTTGGTCTCTCCTTTTACCTTCCTCCAACTGACATTATTGGCCACTGTCCCTGCCAGTTTGGGCTACCGTCTGAGGACTATGGGTCTCCTTTGCTGTCTGCATCCCAGACATGTTTCTCCTGGCAACCTGGACTGTCTTGTCTCCTTTATCCTAGAACCGTGGTTGGCAAGCCATGGCTTGAGAGCCACCTGCGGCTCTTTGGCCCCTTGAGTGTGGCTCTTCCACAAAAGACCACGGCCTGGGCCAGTCTATTTTGAAGAAATGGCATTGGAAGAAGTTTTTTAAAAATTTGGCTTTCCAAAGAAATTTCAATCATTGTACTTTGGATATTTGGCTCTGGTGACTAATGAGTTTGCCGGCCCCTGCTCTATGGTGTTCCTACTTCCCTGCCAGAGAACAAGTGCGGGCAGCTGGCTCCCTTGCCCTAGCAGGCCCTGAATAAATAGCCTGCACCTTTCCTTTTGGTTGGTCTTTATTTCCACAATAACAAATGTCCGATGTTTTCCTTTGTCAACTTAGAAAACAGGAAATCTGATTAAAATGCATTAGAACCAGCAAGACATTGCTGGGTTAATGCTGCTAATTTCCCAGGAGATTTTATTAAACTTATTGCAGAGAGAATTTGCTGCGTGGGCATTAGACTCACTATTGTATTTGCTCCGATTTCCTACCTTCAGCTTGGCGCACGGGGGGGGGTGCCCACCCCCGGTTTCTTTATAAGGGGAATATACTGCTCCCCTGTCTTATCTTCACCGTGTTAACGTACAGGCATGCTTTGGCTAAGATTCAAGTAAGCCGATTTTATCTCTAAAAGAAATCAGATAAATTCCCAAACTAATTAACTGTAGCAAGTTCGTTCTCACACAGTTAAGTAAAATGTGGTATACATTCTCCTAAAGCGCCATTGTTATCAATTCCTTCTCACTCCAATTTAATGCCTAACCTGTGCCGCCAGGTGCCTGTTTTTAATTTAGAGTCAGAACCTTTCAGAGTACATACATCTCTGGGACTTTTCCAATGCCAGCGTCAGAGTTTTCAGGCTTTAACAGGCTTTTT